GGCACAGGCACGCCGAGCTCGCTTGCTTCCTGGGATAGCTGGCAGCCCAAAAGCCCAGATAACTACTTATTGCAGGGTTATCTTCAAAGGAGGGAAACTCTTAATTCCGCTTTAACAGCAGGGAGGGAAGGACCGCACTCTGAGGCTGTGTGAATTGGACTGTCGAAACACCATGCTGGAAGCAGAAGCAGCTGTTGGAAATGCAATGAAATGGCAATCCAACATGCAGGTGTGCTTAGATGTATGCTCCAACTGTGTCACAATATATTTTTCCATCTGTTTTCTGCTGCTTTGAGAATGTACTTCACTGCTACATCAAGTAATACAACCTTGGAGACGAAAAATCCTTTGGGTTAAGGCTTTCGTATAAGAGAATTAATCTGGTTTGAAAATCCTGTCCTTCTGAGGGTCTACTTTTGTCATTTACTTAGTTTAGAAGATGAATATGGCAAAATATATTATTTATTAAAGTTGATATAGGCACTAGGCTGTAGCTTCCTCTTCTCATACACTCATACATTAAAATTAATAGAAAAGAAGCTTCTAGGAGTTTAAACAGAATTTGCCTATATGGCAGTAGGAGTCTTTCCTTATTTTTGTAAATTATTTAGTGGCATTACAAATATTTTAAACATCAAAATTGTGGATGGTCTCTTTTTTTTTTTTCCTTTGCTTGCTTGTCTGCTTGTTTGTGTTTTAAACACAGTTGTAATTTCAAGTGCTATTGGTATCTCCTTAAAGAAGCCGCAATGTCTTTCCTTGCAGTGTCATAAAGTGTATAATGGCTTTGAGTTTATTTTGCTAATACCAATTATTGTTGCTAATCACTACTGCCAGAAAGGCTAAAAAATACGTGCTATAATAGAAGGGGTGATTTTGTGTGTTTCTATGTAGGCACCAGGTTTCTAAGTTAGGATAAAACAAAAACTGAGTAAAGGTGGTAGAACTTGTGTTGATAAATATACAGATTTTGCTGATATGTTATGTGGAAGTTTGTGCTTCTGCCATATGTTCATGAGAGTTATATCTGCCTCCTTTACGCTGAAGGAAACTTAGAACTGTATTACAGTCCATCAGTGACTATTTCTAATGCAAGCAGAAGACTTGTTTGGGAACTTAATTTTCTTTCTTTTGAACTTCTCCAGCCTTCCAATAGCTGCCAAACCATCCAGTGACTAGAGTATCTGTTCTTCCACACGGATAACTCAATTTTCTTCCATGCATCCGTAGTGTGAGACACCATGTTCTCCTAGAGAACACCGTTACAATGTGTGCTGCATAGCAAATGTAGAAGTCTAAAGGCTGAGTTTGTGAGTGTCCCTAAAACCATATGACCTGTTTCATAGCCTTGTGTCACAGTTTAGGAGTTGGTCTTGTAGGTATTTATATGTATATTCATAGAATACATTTGCGGCTTAAACTCCTAGCAGTTATTATTAAAGAATGTCCCCAAGTGAATTTATGGCATTTAAAATGGAGTAACAGTGATTGTTATCAACAACAAGACATGGAGATAAAAACATTATAGCTTTTAGCTGTTATGGCCTTTTCTCTGCCTTGGAGTGCCACAGATTTGGTGTGTGTCACATAGCATACTGTAGTCAAATTTTGTTCAAACAGTAGCATGAGTTGATTTGGACGGGAGCTTCTAAACACATCGTGATTCCCAGACCTCAGCTGCCTCTCTAAGACCCAGGAGAGCTTCTCTGCTTGTTACCAAATGCCTACAGACCATCCAGGTGATATAGTGCTGTGCAGAGTTCTTCGCCCTGCTTTCTAAATTAATAGAGTAAAATGCAGTACTCCACTGCAGACTGACCTCAGACATGGAGGCTGGTACACAAAAGACAGCCTGGGATTCACCTTACTCTCCCTGTTGCTGTTGCAATTGCTCGTCAGAAGGGAAAGGTGGAAGTAGTGTAGACCAATGATGCCATTAGGTGCAGCATGTGGAGGGTCCCGAGGAAGTTAGAATAAATCTAGTTTGGAAAGATTCAGAAGTTTTCATAAATAAAGATGCAGGACAGATAAGTGGAGAGGAAATAGTGTAAGAAAGGATAGAGAAAGTTTTGGTCCAAGAATGGGAATAGATTGTACATCTCCTCTGAGTGCCAACAGAATCTTTGTATCACTTTGCACCATTGCTGTGGTGCTTTAGAAATTCTGTGATTTTGGAGAAACAATAAGCATTATTGGTTTCAGTGGAACAGTTTTTACAACTCCAGGAATATTCTCAGTACAGACCAAGCTCAGTATGAACCAAGTTGCTTTTGCCAAACTTCATGCAGCAGAGAAAATGTATTATAACGGAGATGTCCATCCCTTCTGCTGCAGCTCATCACACGTCCCATACGCAGGAATGTATGAGCAGACTGTGTCTTTGAAAAGTATGAATGTATGTATTGTTGCTTGTGCGTTTATATAGTATTTATTGGGGGGCGGGAGGGAGGACAATAAAGGAAAGAGGAAGGGTGAAGTTCCAAGATATTAACAGACATTAAACTTCCTTTAAAAGCCTTGTGGTTACCAAGACATGGTTTACATTAATGCCTGTCTAAGAGTCTGTAATGTCTGTCATTATAGCCCAGGTGATACCTCCATGATGCCATTTTAGATGTGAGTGAAGGCATGAGCTGTAAGCAATCTGTTGGATGCAAGCGATGACAGCTAAGAACTCAGGTTTTGTAAATTCTTCTCTCTTAATATAGCAACACACACATCATTCAGTTGGTATGAAATCAGTTGGTGTCTTCATGATGAAGATGGCCTGAATTGCACTTCAATTTCAAGTGTCTAGTCAGTGATGAGAGCTAAGTGCCTCCGGAGACTTTGAGGAGTGATTCTCATGGCCTAAGACACGGAGTTGCCTAAAACCACTCAGTAGGAGACACCCGACACATGGATTTGGTTGATTCAGAACATGTGAATATGATGCTTCATGATTTCAAGCCCACAAAAACTTTCACATTTATTTAATTAGTGCCTTTTTTACCAAGAAGTCTAAATATACATAGCTAATGCACATTTTGAAACTCAATAGAACAGTTAACTGACTGAACTACTGTTGCAATTTTTGATGCCCTTCATTGATTCTTTGTTTCACAGGGGTTGAATAGCACAGTGAAGAAAAAGTGTTTCAAATTGATCTTAATAAGAAAGTGGTTTTGGTTTGTCATCTTCCCTCTCTGACAGAATACAAAAGCAGCAATGAGTTTGATATAGCATGTGTATGTGAAAGCCATTAGTAACAGAAGCCTTTCTTTTCAGCTCCTTCATGTGGCATTCACGTGAGCAGTACAGGGCAGTGAGTTTTAGCTAAAACTGCTGTTATCCCACGGCTAGTTAGAAACTCCTGCTACACCAGTGCTTTGTCAGGACGAAATTAAGTATCAAGTAGAAGAGTCTGTCCTCATCCAGAACTAGTCGATGTCTTTGTTAGTGACTTGGGTGAAAGAATAATACGAGGTTTATGTTTTCAGACGAATGGTCTTCAAGCACTTTCAAAAATATAAGTAGGATCGAGAATGATCTTGACAACTTGGAGCAGTGACCTGAAGTAAATAGTAGAGTTTGGTAACGACAGAGAAAGCGTGGCACTTTGGGGAAGTTCTACAGGAAAAAAAAAAAAAAAAAAAAAAGTGGGAATAGTACTCAGTCTTAAGTTTAAACATGAATCAGCAATGTCATAGTGCACTGACAGTCTCGTGTAGTGAGGTACAAACAAGAACGGCATAAACTGTTACAAAAAGAGCCTTCCAATTTATTGGCTACTACTACTGCCTTACGAGGAAGATTATATCCAGTTCTCAGCAGCAAACAGTAGGAAAGAGGGGCATTTCCTTTCAATAACAGAGAACTGTGAGCCAAGCGACAGAGGTTTAGAAAATGTGACCCAAGATGGATTGAGAGACGGTTTCCTTCAGAGAAGAGGAAACTGCAACACGCGCATGAAAATGCATTGGAGGTGGAGGAGAAAAGGAAAGTAGCAAACTGCTTTCCATCCTATACGGATGGATCAGTTTCAGGGGTTGGTCTGGGGGTTCCTGAGCTCTGGAACATAAACCCAAAGATGGAAAATGGGGCAATGAGTTGAAGGGTTTAGAGATCCTGCACGGGTAAAAGGAAAATCTGTCGGAGAGGATAGCTGAGCATGGGAATGGTTTTCCTGAGGAAGTTTGGGTATCTTCATCACTGGAGGCTTTCAAGAATAACTTACACAGCAGTTCTTGAAATGGCTTAGGGTCTTCCTAGCCTTTTTTTAGACCTGGTCGGAATCAATATGCTTTATGTAATTTAAAGGCTATGTTTAATTTTGGCTGTTTATACCAGCTGCAATTGCTGAACAGTTTTAGAATTGTCTTTGCTGCTTTCTGTCAGCCCCAAAACAGCAGAGCCTCTTCTTCTTTCTTCTCTGGCTTAATTTCTGGGCCCTTTATAGCTCTTTTCACTTTATGAATAAAATAAGTGAAGAAGGGAAAAAATATTGCAGGATTCAGTATGTATTTTGTTATATTCCTTCAATATTTTGTCACAGACAGAATGAAAGATGGAGAGGAATGGCTTTTCTTTCTAATCATATAACCACAATCTTACTTTTCTTTCTAGTGTATCTGTGGTCTCCAGTGATCATACAGTCCCTACATTAAGATTATAGCTCCAGCGGCTTGATTCTGGGATATTGTAGTCTCCTAAAGTATCACTAAGTTTGAACAGCAAGAGTATTGCATAGGAGTACTGAAATCTGATAATGCTGTGGAAATTATTTGGGAGGACTGGTGCAATACAATGCTTTTATGAATATTACAGCTGGAGTTTTAGTAGGTGTGTTTTATGTTGACCCACAAGATTTCATAAGTGCTTTTTATATTGATGGATATCACTTCTGAGGCAAGTATATAGCTGCTCTTGGAGTGCAAGCAGTTTGCAAAAGGCAGAATTTTGTCAGAATTGTACACAAATAATTGTCGTCTTGCTTTTCCCCTCCTTCTCCCCACTTCTAGCTGGCTGTGAGGTGGTTGGAACACAACTGCCGCTACCAGTACATGGACGAACTGCTCCAGTATGTCCGCTTTGGCCTTATGGACGTGGATACACTGCATACCGTAGCTCTTTCTCATCCTCTCGTCCAAGCTAGTGAAACCGCGACAGCACTTATTAAGGAGGCCTTGGCTTACCACCAGAGCGTCTACGCACAGCCAGTTTGGCAAACCAGGAGGACGAGACCTCGCTTCCAGTCGGACACTCTTTACATTATTGGCGGGAAAAAACGTGAAATCTGCAAAGTGAAGGAATTGCGGTACTTCAATCCAGTAGATCAAGAGAACGTTCATATTGCAGGGATCGCCAACTGGAGCGAGCTAGCGCCTATGCCTGTAGGGAGAAGCCACCACTGCGTTGCTGTCATGGGCGACTTTCTTTTTGTGGCTGGTGGGGAGGCGGAGCACTGCACAGGGCGCACTTGCGCGGTGCGATCCGCCTGTCGCTACGACCCCCGCACTAACTCCTGGGCCGAGATCGCTCCGATGAAGAACTGTCGGGAACACTTCGTGCTGGGAGCTGTGGACGAGTACCTCTACGCAGTGGGAGGCAGGAACGAATTGCGGCAAGTGTTGCCTACGGTGGAACGCTATTGCCCCCAGAAGAACAAGTGGACCTTTGTACAGTCCTTCGATCGATCGCTCTCATGCCACGCAGGATATGTGGTGGATGGTCTTCTTTGGATATCAGGTAGAAAACGTTTCACACGGTTTGAGGTACTAACAAAATACCAGAGTACTGTCTTGAATGAAACTAAAAAGTCTTCGTTGGTTCTTGTGTCACGATAACTTTTGTCTTAGGAGATGGGTATTTCAAAGAGTTTAAGCCTAGAAGCATACAATCAAGCCTGATTAGAAGTATAGGAGCGTGACGTACCTATGCAGTATTTTTTGTCTGCTAAATATCTCTTGTGTTTCAAAGCTGCGTATATCTTATGTGCTACCTCCAGTTGGCATTCATAAATCACGGTGAATTGGAATGGTAATGCACTTTTGGCCAAATTTCAGAACACAAATTCTGCGTGCTTCCTAAAAACAACACAAAAAAGACCCGCTTTCTGCAGTATGATCTGGTATCACTGCATTTATTCCTGATAATGAAATGGAGAATTAAGTGGTTGTTGGCTTGTGTCAATCCAGGGCTTGAAGGCAGATGTATAAATTGCTCCCACTTGCTCTTAAAGATATTGTAACAGGCCAAAATGACCTGAGTGAGAAACGATGCACAGCTCTGTCCGCAGCAAGTGCACGGGACTGCCTGGATGTAATCATAGCTTCATGGCAGGATAGGTGAAAGTATAGGCCTTGTAATTAACATATCATTTGCAACTCTGTCTGATACACTTTTCATTTTACGTGTGCACGTTGATGGGAGTTGAAGACATCGGGACATCAGTCTTTGTAGTGACTTTTCTGGTATTAGTTACTTTAGAATAAGGTTGGTGCTGTCTACAGAAGATTTGACAGAAAACCAGCCACCTTTTAGTAAAAAGTGTGTCACAGAAGGTTATAAAGTTGTAATATTTATCGAGGAAGTTAATGAATAAATGGGGCCAGCCCTTGAGGAAAGTGTTCAGTGATTGCCCTCTTCATTGTAGGTACCCTCTGGGGATTTTAATGTGGTCTGGGATTCCTATGGTGGAAAGATGGTATATGAATGAAAGATTAAGTTAGCTACGTAGACCTTCACTGTCCTTCTCAAAGTATGTTATTTAGGTTAGCGGAGCAACTTGCATTGGCGGGGGGAATGACAACTTCAGAATTAAAAGCATGGCAGAACGCAGAAAATCACCAGGATCTCTGGCAGATGTTTCGGGTCACTTTCTTCAGCAATTGGCATTGAAGGAGTCTTGCAGAATTTGTGCTGTGTATTAATCCTGAAGCGTGGATTCCATACAGTGGGCTTTGAGACCCAGCTATGATACAGGAACAGGGTTTCTGCTTTAGGGTACCAGCCGGGCGTGTTCAGAGCATTACCCTGTTTATTCACTACCTTTCCTGTTTTATCAGCGGAGAGGGATGTATGTCTGTGCTGGGCAATTCAAATACATGGATGCTGTGTCTTGATTTTTGAAAAAAATATTTTTATTTCTCTCTAGTGGTTTACATGTGTCAGTTTCTATGAAAAAACGAGTTTTTTAGGAAATTGTGTCAAGCATATTCATATAAAATCATTGAACCAGCACTAGAAACATTCATCAGAGTGTGGTCCTTGTTCCAGTGCATGAAAAAAGTAATATTTTCTACTCCTAATTTATTTTTCTTTTTGGTTCAAAAAAAAAAAAAAACAACCAACCAACCAAACAAACAAAAAACCCAAACCAAAACAAAATCCCAAGGAATTATTTGATAGGGATTTTTATGTTAAATGTGGGACTGGTTGAAGATCACTTTTAATCTTTCCAGATATGCTAGGAAAGGGAAAATTATGCTGAGGATTAATTAACGTCCCTAGTTACGTAAGTGAAATGCATGCCTGCCTGTGTGTTTAAATACTATCTGCATTTATATAATGAAGCAGTGTGATATTGTGTTCAAGGATATGCCTCTAATACAGCTGTAGAATCAGGGGAAGAGGTAAGTGGAAGCCTATTAGATGAACTCTTTGAAACCGGGCAAAACAACAAAAAATATTTTATTAGTATTGTTCCATTTCTATTTGAAAATGCTACCAACATAACTTCTGTTGTAAAGTCACGGTAAGGAGCAATGTTTTGGCAGTGTAATAAGGTAGACAGGACTTTTGGGTTGTATTTTATATCGTTTTTGAAAAAATGCGTAGCAGTTCTGAGTTGCTAGATTCTGACAGGTTATCATGAAATACGAGAGCATACTGTGCAGTAATTCAGTAGGGTATTGATCTGAATTATGTACTCACAGATTGAAAATCGGTTTCTGTGTAGTGAATATAGTTATTTTAAAAATAAAAATAGATGGAGATGCAGTAACAGTAGCTATCTTTCTATTATTAATTAATTGCTTAGGACCAGAATGTAGCTTGCTGTACGTGTATGTTTAGGGGCAAAGGAACAGTGCAGAGAAATGTTTTATTTTTCCAAAACTATCTGTAGTCACAGCTGAAAAAAATCCACTGTTAGTCATCAGCTATAAGGTGATAGCATAAGAGCAATCAGTAATGCAGGAGGGAACCTAATTCTGAAGTATGTGGCCTAAAATTAAGTAATTAAAAAATTAGTCTGAGTTAGGGATGTTTCTGAGCTGTATCCCTGCTGCTTTTTCTGGGAAATACGGGTCATCAGCACGAGCTCTCAAAGTCACTCTGCTACTACCAGCTGGCAAGGTAACCACGAAAATGTGCCCAGTTTTTTAGCAGGTGAATAAATGAAAGAGTGATAAATTTCTAGCCCTTCTATATGCAGAGAGTCATCAAAGCATGACGTGCACACAGACCATATACTTGCACTACAGCCAAAGCATCAGTGCCTCTGCTGCAGCCCCTTGTCTTCTAAAGGCTTTGCTAACCAAAAGCTGGCTAGACTTACGGGGTTTCTATTATTATTATTGGGATTCATTTTCAGCTTTACTTTGCTGCTCCTTTGGGACAAATACGAGAAGGAATCAAAAACAATAGAGCATGAAATCATGGCAAAGCCAGCAGGGAAGGGAAATGTGCTAAACAACATGCTGTGAGTGTAAGTGCAGGCTGGCAGTAGATGGGTGGCCAGTGTTTTGGGTGGCAGGAGGACCCCTACTCTGCCACCAGTTCTTTGGGGTTTTAACCTGTCAGAAGGCTCAGAGGGAGCCTTCTGCACTCTGGAACTGGTTTGGACCCTCTGGTCAGCACAGGGGAGTTCTTGAGGTTTTCTAAGCTCCGTATAGTGTGGAACATATTTTTATATTTGTGTCATCGTTTTTTCTTTTTTTTTTTTTTTTTTTTTTTTTTTTTTCACAGCCTGCATTTTAGTTTATTATTTTAAAAAGGAGATGAGAATTCATTAAAATAAGTTTTCTGTATTGACAGTACAGCATCGGGCAGATGGTTTTGAAATTTTAGAGAAAGATGAATCTTACAGGCCCCAGTTAACATCTGACACCATGACCCATTTCACAAACGAATTGCACGCCACATGCTTGAAAAGTGAAGTATTTGAGTGAAAGAGAAACAAAATGCACCAAACCCTTTGGAGTCCGACTAACAGTCATTCCCCATAAAAGCAGGGAGATATTTTCCATAAGAGTGAGAACTTGAACTATGCCCGTTTCCATGCATCCTCCACGGCGCTCACATGCAAATCTGGAGACCTACTTTTCTATACATGCTGACCTTCCTCCCCCCGTATAGGTGTAGTGCCCCTGGAGACAGGGGCAGGCAGGGGACCTCCTGCACCTGCAGCTGGGGGTAACAAGGCTTCCCCTCCGCCTCAAGTGCTCGGGAGATGAGCACATGAAAAGTCTTCTCTAAAGCAAAGTATTATGCTGTTGTTTCGCTGAGGTCTGAGCTGCCCGACCTTAAGTGTGTCAGCTAAAACCACAGCTTGACACGCGCATAGAAACTCAGCTGGCGGGGGCGGGGGGGCGTGATAAACAAGCCAACCTCATACAGTTGCTTCGTATTTAACAGCTTTTTCTTCAAAATTCAAGACGCTTTTTTTTAACTATTAATTTTCTCCCCTAATGGTAGAGATTTTGACCGAAGAAATTATGGAGATTACACATCTTGGAGAATTATTCTGAGTTTGCGAGTGGTATGGGGTGAAAAGTATTACCTTACTATAAGTATGCTGTTTGTTGTGAGGAGAAGAAAATTTTTTCTTAGTAAATGCTTGTAAAATTCTTTCATGAAAAATAGATCTGGAATAAATAGGAATTTACAGTATCTGACAAAATCAAGTTTTGTGATACGGCTGGCACAGAAATTACCAGGACCGGGAGGTTAACAAGTACATAAAAATTGCCTCAGTGACCCGGTCTTAGTCTGTGTATGGAACAGTGTTTTATCATGATTATTATTAGATTTGAAAAAAAGATACTGGATCTCACACCTTTCAAGCATAGATATTATAGGTTTGATGCCATTGATTCTTCTTAGATTGAATGTGAATATCGGGATTTAATGATTTGAAAAATAACCCTCAAACAAACTAGGGCTTGTGCCCCTCTTGTTTGCAGCTGGATTGCAGCTGGAGTGGAACAGTGTTAATCAGAGCTGCTGTTGGCATCTTCCAGGGGTCTCGTTAGGGTGGGAGAATACGCTCCAGCTCAGCTGTCCTCCCTGCACCTGGGCTGGCTGAAGTAAAAGGCAGTGGGCTTGCATGTTGAGGAAGGATTATCTCGTGTTTAACACACAGACACGTAAGAGAGGAGAGGTTTCTATTTTTAAATAGCAGAGCACCTTGGGGCGCATGTCATGAGTTTCTATATATTCCCTGGATTTGCTGGAAGGAATACACGTGGGAGCTCTTTGCCAACATGTAGTTTTACACGTCTCCCGGTGAACTCGGATTCGCGCACGCAGCCTAGCACTCGGGGACTTCAGAGAGAGTTGTGAGATTTTCTGGGGGTTTTGGATTGGATTAGATTTCTCAAGTCATATGGGGGTCTTACTAGGACATGTTATAAATATGGATTATAAATTTTTGATTGGGGAAATGGTGTTGAATCTACTCCCTCCCACCCTTTTCTTTTTGGAAGTGTCTTTTCTTGAAGGTGTTTTTCAGTGAAGTTTGTGGACTGTCTGGGGGGCTGCAACAACCTCAAATATTTCCCGTGTCTGGGGAAGGACTGGACAAGGTGGTTCTTGGAATCCTCCAATATCTTCCCTGTGGAGAGGGGCAGTGTTGCATGAGTTGGAAACTTAGGGGTCTTGGAGGGCTTAAAAAGCAGATTTACGGCCTGCAAGGGAATGAGCAACAGTGACTGTGGCAATGTTAAAAAAAAAAAAAAAAAAAAAAATTAAATCTGTGGGTTGTATGTTGTATGCTGGGCTTTCCATGAGTGTGTTCTCATGGCTGTAAGAGCAAGAAAGACACAGGCTTGTCCTGAGGGTGCTCCTTGCCTCCCAGAAACTCTGGTCCTCAAAGCAATCTGCTCATGTCAAAGTGTCATCACTCTGTTTATAAAAGCAAGTGAGCACTGACCAAACTGTAAATTTTCTGTCATTTACCCAGCCAGACATTTTTTCTCTTTAACTGATGGGATACTACCACATTAGCTGCTATTGCTTGACATAAAATTTAATAGCATGGTTTGTATTTTTAAATACTTCTTTTAAAGTGTTGTTATGATGCTTTCCTTCCTTTCCACTCCTTTCCTCATAGAAAGCTCTGCAGAGAAGCTTAAGAAATTATCTCAGAATTACCCCTTTTTTTTTTTTTTTTCCGAGAAAGTCTTATTTTTAGTACCACTTAAACTTTTTTTTTTTCCCTTTTCCTATTTTTTTAAGAGACATATTGCTCTTCTTTTGCCCTTTCCCAGCTGCCTGGTGTATTTTTAAAAAAATAGTTCAAGAGGACATTGCAGACTTGTTATATTTGAATTTTGGCAGAAAATTTTAAACTTTTGCTATAGCACTTCAAAGTTAGGAGGAACTTGAGTTTGAAAATTGATGCAGATATAAGATGGCATATTTAATGACAGATGTATCTATAGAAACCTGTTAAGATGCAGATTATCCCCCTGGGGAGGGGAGATCAAAACTGCCAATCTATAAAATATACTTGTTAGGGAAAGGCATGGAATCTATCTCTGCGAGCACTTTGATTGCAGGGGACAGTGTAGCAGCATGTGGCATCATAACCTAAGAGCAGACAAATCAGCTTGATGACTTTCAAAGCCAAGAATACTGCTGGAGGCAAGGGTACTCCAGTCTAGAAGAAATTAAAACATATAGAGACTGTTATTAATTCCAGATCTATTTTTGTGTAGTCAAATCTGTATGCAAATCCTTAGCATCTCATTTTGGCAGATTAATCTAAAAGTGAAGAGCGGTATGTGAAGGGAATGTAATGATAAAACACCACAGATGAGCAATATTGCAGGGGAAAACATGTAAGCTGTGTACTCGATATGAGGGGCTCTTTGTGAAGAGAGGCAAATAATTTTGCTTATTTGGTTATTTCAATATTTTATGAGGAAGCAACCCCCTTCTTTCTCTTCTTCCACATCTTTCCCCCTAAATTAAGGTGTCCTTTCTGAATGGAAATACATGACCTGGCATTGTGTTTCTGATGCAGTTCCTGTAGTTTAACATTCTGGAGGTAATCATCCAAGTAACTATGATTTTTCTTTTTCAAAATACCGATCTGACGTCTCATTTTTAAACATTACGCTAGGAGTGAAAATAGCGATGTAAAAGAAAATCCAATTACAAACCAGATACTAGAAGAGATTGCTTTGTGCGCGTGGCTGACGGCCGCTGACGCCGCGAAGGCCGCACAGCAGCGTAGAGACAAATAACAACAGATCGTGAGGTTAGACCCAGGAACAGTCGTTGCTTTCCAGCGCCCGCTCTTGCGTGTGTACTTCAGGGGTGCTGTGACGGGCAGCGTGCGGCACAGGGTGGTGGAAACACCCCCTCTCATCCTGGCTGTCTCCTGGCCTGTGAGCACCTCTGATCCGAGAGCTTGTGCTACCCGCCGCGTGTAGGGGCCCCGGTACAGGCTGGTGCTTGCCAAGTGCACCCAAATAACGGTGTTATTCTTCCTCACTACTGTGGTTGAAGACAAGGTTCTGGAATATATGTGCCTGTAGTTGTTGCTATCTGTTGATCAGATTCTTGGCCTCGCTCAGGTTATTCAGAGCGATCGGAAGGTAAATCTACGTTAGCCAGTGGCTCAGCCCAGTAGGAGCAGGTTAGTAGATAACACTTTGGTGTCGAGTTCTCTGTACCTACTCCATGTACAGTTTGCAGTTTTTGCTCTGGACTAGATTTATTCTGGTCCTCTGGACAAAAAGTTCCCGGTACTCAGCTGGTCCAAAGCCATCTGAAATAACTGGTATTATTTTACACCCTTTCACCCCATTAGGAACTGGAGCACAGCTGGTGTACATCTGGAGCAGAGCTGCTGGTTTAACTTGAAGGCAAACCAGTCCCACCTTACAGCCGAAAATAACATGTGAGAGGTGGGGGGAGTTGCTTCAAAATCACGGTATGGCTCTGAGCCAAAATGCTGCACTAGGGGCAGCTGGAGGCTGGCAAAATGAGGGCTCCCCAGCATGGAGCCACGTTAGCACAAGCTGGGGGAAAAGCCAGTGGCCTGAGTAGGACTGGGCCATAGCTCAGCCAGCAGGAATGAAAGCAGCTCTGCCGCTGCTCAGTCTGAAACAGGCGACGTCCTCACAAAAAGAGAAGCATCAACAAATGTAATTATGGCGGATGAAATTCCTTCCTCTCGTTGCTGTGGATTTTGTCCGTCATTGGCACATGCTGTTAAAACTGTAATACAAAAAGTCTGTCTGTCAATATGAGTTTCACTGGTTTGTGCCCACTGGCATGCCCTAGTTATGTCCAGACCTTCTGGCAGGATGAAAGGTGAGGTGCAGCTTGCAGGCCTTCTTCCCGGTCCCATCTTCCCATGTGGGAAGGGCCCAGGGTGGTGACAGAGCGGGGACTGGGACCTGTGACAGTGCTGCAGTGACACCATGCCCGCAGGAGCCTTGAGCACGTGTTTACACAGGTAGGATTACAGACGAGACTGATGAATTTTTCTACCAGTGTACTCGGTGAGATTTACCATTTAAAACCAACAGAGAACTGGATGATCAGGCATTAAACGTATACTGTGTTGAGGAAAACAGTTGGTTTGTGGCATCTACTTGGGTCAGACTCTATTCCGGGTCTTTCTGAGGTGCTTTGTACCTTGCTTACATTATTGGAAAGTAAATGGTAGTGTTGTTTCTCGTCGCTGTGGAGGAACTTCCCAATGTAAGTTTACAGCTAAGCCAGGAGACATTCTCTAGACTAAATACAGGACTTCCTTCAAATATACAGGTGAGCACACCTGCACAGCTTTGCACTGTGCTTTCCAGCTGGCAGTGGTGCCCCAGGTCACGCTCCTAGTTAGGCAGAGCTCCTCTCCAACCTCTTCCTTCTCTCTGACGCAAGCCCACCTCCTCTTCCTTTAGAACACGACACACACTGCACACTTCTTGGAACAGGGATGGGTTTTATCTTCGCATCTTGACGACAGCTGAATGCACAGTCATTTATAAACAGATCAATTTTTATCTCACTTTTAGCCCATAGAATTAGCTTCGCAAAGGAAGTGTGTGGGGGGGAGTGTTTGGATATTGCTATTTTCTGTTTCTAGATGTTTGACAAATATGCTACTTTTTACCTTGTAGCCAGATTAAAAAGTGCAGTGGAATGTAAGCGTAAGTCGTGGTATGCAATGTAGTTATGTCAGCAAATGAACCCTAGAATTGGTTACTTTGCTGTGCCCGATCTCGGTCCTGTTTTTGCTTCTATGAAAAAAAGGTAACCTGTATAAACTCTTTCACAGGAGGAGTAACAAATACTGCACAGTATCAAAACAGGCTCATGGTCTATGATCCTAAGCAGGTGGGTATCTGTATCGTATGTGTTTTTTCTCATATGTTTTGCTTCAGACAGGTCTCTTACAAGAATCAGTGTGTGTATTTGCTAAGGCTAAAAATGCTGGCCATTTGAATTAGTGGTGTTTTAAGTTTACTTTGTACTGATGTGTCAGTTTAACAGAATAACAGAGACCCTGACTTTTTATTATGTTGTTTTTTTTTTTTTTTTTAAGCCTGTAGGTATTAGAAACATCTTAGATTAAATACAGAAATGTGCTTTAAATCCCCTGTATTCATCAGTATTTATTTTGCCTGTTCATTTTTTTTTTTTTTTTTTTTTTTTTTTTTGGTAATCCAGCAGCCCGTGGCAACATACACTCAAAGTCAGTGTCACAAAACTGCTCCTTGTCATTGGCAATTCTGCTTTGAATTGCATATATGGGCTTTTTGTTTTCTGCATACTTTCAGAACTATACTACCTGGGTGAGACTTATTCTGCTGACTGCAAGGGTGCCCATCATTTCATTACCCAGGCACCTAAAATATCTTTTAGGAATTGTTTCATACATTATGTATGTGTTTTGATTAGGTTAGCATGGCTCAGTAACCATTTCAGAGGGTTAGGGCATGGTTATGCCCTCTTGCTTGTATTAGGAATTAAAAGTCCTAAGCTCGCAATCAGAGTTGCATAGTCTGATTTACACCCACGTGGAAGAGTATTGACTTTTCTGATTGTAGGATAGAGGTTTTGATTGCTGTATTTGGAACCGAATTGTGCCAGGAGATTCTGCGATGTGGTTCCCACCGACTTTTTAAAGCATAGCACATATGGGTCCTGGAGCAGAAAGCAGGCAGTGACACACCTGCCTCTTTCTTTCTGAGGTACAATTTTACGCACTGATTGTACAAATGCTGATTCTGTCCTAAATCCAAGTAGCAATTACAGGCAGCAACCTTACTTTGCTTATGAGGGATGCGCGTATTTAGATGCTGTCTCTGTTGTGTATCTTTCACTTTGATTCTTTACTTGCTGACGTGAAAGTTGCACCCCAAAATGCCAGTGGCATGGGCTACCTCAGCACGCTGTGCCGCCGGCGAGAAACCCGGCCTGGTGCCTAAAGAGTTACAGCGGAACTGTGCGCTCGCATTCTTCAAATGAGGTCCGCTTCGTGTTTGTACACACGGGCTCTTTTTAAAAATTCTGCTGGCATATTGTTTACGGTGGGTACTGGAAACCATCACATCTGCTTGCATCTCGCACAGAATCTCAATAACTCTATCATTCAGCACCAGCGCTTGCTTCTGCGCGAGGCCTTTGTGGCGAGTCGATAATGCCTGCCATCTGCCACAGAGCACACAGCTACCTGCCAACAAGCCGGCTGGGGTGACCTCTGCTTCCCCACCACTGATTAGTATTCACACGCCGGCTTATTAGAAATGACCCCACCAGGCCCCTCTGTTTCTTTGCCTTTGCAGTGCTTTGCGGCTCACCTGGCAGGCACTGCAGTGGAGGAAGCTAAAGATATAATCAGGGGATGCAGGCAGGCTTTGCAAAGCAGATGGTGTCTGTAGTCTGGTGTTAAGAGACTGGACTACTAATGCAAACATTAATGCCTAATATTCAACTATTACACATTGAAATGTATAGCTATATATTGCGGAGGTTAAAAGGCAGTAGTATTAGAGGCTCTTGAGTTACCGCAAGCGCTAGCATATGTAATGCAAAGAATTTCCTCGCAGATTTTAACTTCCTTCACTTAAAAAAATTAAGCTCATCCACTGCCAGGTTGTTTGATTTGGTAAGCGTAGCAGGAGCAATTGTTTTCTTAGGTTTAAAATACTGTCCTTTAATCCCTCTTCCCTGTCCTCTTGCCCCTCCCCTGAACAGGTAGAATTCTTGATTACTGTTAACCAGGAAGAAAAATACCCAAAATGACATTACTCTGTAAGTGCCCACAAATAAAGGGTTAGCGTTAAACCAAATACATGAATCATTCGAGAAGATTCTTTAGGAAATTATTTTTCCCTCTTGCTTCATTCCCCAAGGATAAGATCAAATAAGCACCTGAATAACGAAAGGTAGAAGAATTTTTCTCCTCTCATAACAGAGCTAGCTGTTACAGATAATTTTAGCACTGTATACAGAGGAGACATCTAATAGTCTTGCCTAAGGAGGATTTGCTACTGAATTATAAAGAAGAAAAAAATCTTTGAAACCTGATGAGCTAAACGAAATACTATTGAATTAATGAATTTAAATGTGAGGACTGTAAACCACGTGTTGAAAGTCCGGTATGCCTAGTCAGTGCTATAACCAGCACGCGTGTTTAACATGAACAACACAAGTATATACACTTGTGATTTCTGGCCAAGCGTAAGAAGAATCACAGAATGGTTTGGGCTGGAAGGGTCCTTAAAGATCCTCTAGTTCCACCCCCCTGCCCCGGGCTGGGCCCCCTTCCCCCAGCCCAGGGGGCTCCCAGCCCCGTCCAACCTGGCCCTGAACCCTTCCAGGGAGGGGGCAGCCACAGCTGCTCTGGGCACCCTGGGCCAGCGCCTCACCACCATGCAGTAAAGAATTTCTTCATTATATCTAATCTAAATCTACCTTCTTTCAGTTTAAAACAATTACCCTTTGTCCTATCACTACTGTCCCTGATAGAGTCCCTCCCCATCTTTCCTGTAGCCCCCTTTAAGTACTGGGTGGTCGCTATAAGGTCTCCCTAGAGCCCTCTCTTCTCCAGGCTGAACAACCCCAGCTGTCTCAGCCTGTCCCCATAAGAGAGGTGTTCCAGGCCCCTGATCATCTTGGTGGCATCCTCTGGACCTGGTCGACACAGGTCTATGTCTTTTTTACGCTGGGGGCCCCAGAGCTGGACCCAGCACTGCAGGTGGGGTCTCATGAGAGTGGAATAGAGGGGGAGAATCCCCTCCCTCGCCCTGCTGGCTGCACTTCCCTTGATGCAGCCCAGGACATGGTTGGCTTTCTGTGCTTCAACTGCACGTTGCTGGCTCATAGGCATAGTCAGTTTTCCATCCACTACTGCCCCCAGGTCCTTCTTGGCAGGGCTGCTCTCCCTCCATCCACTCACGGCCCAGCCTGTATTTGTGCTTGGGATTGGCCCGACCCATGGGCAGGCCCTTGCCCTTGGCCTTGTTGAACTCCTTGAGGTTTGCCCAGGCCCACTAGTGTGCTACTATGGCTCCACTAATGTGCTACTATTACTGTGCTACTGGTACAGGTATGTCTTTGAGCAGCGCTGAGACAAGTTCTCTCTTTCTCTTTCCAGAACAAGTGGTTAAGCCGTAGCCCAATGTTGCAGAGAAGAGTGTATCACTCCATGGCTGCCGTCCAAAGGAAACTTTACGTGCTAGGTGGGAATGATCTGGACTACAACAATGATCGGATCCTGGTTCGGCACATAGACTCCTACAGCATAGACACTGACCAGTGGACGCGCTGCAGCTTCAACATGCTGACAGGCAAGTACTGTACACCAAAAGAGGGAACTCGCTACTATTCAAGTAAAACATCGACTCTTTTACCTTTAGATGCCTTTAGTATGTGGAACTCTGTGACTTCGCTGCAATTGCCTCCAATTTAGGGACGATCGTTGGCCAACAAGACACTTTTGATTACTATTCTGGCATTCAGTGTTCTACAAAACATTAATTTTAGGACACTGTAGACTAATTTTTTAAGAAGGTGCACATTAATTTAATTAAGCAGTCAAAAATAATTTGTCATAGTATTACCAGGACTTATTTTGATTCTCCAAAAGCTTGCCTGCAGTGATAGATTTAGCTCCCTGCTTGAATGTACAAGAGGCAGAAGTGTCTCTACCATGATAACATCATTTTGTAGTGCTTTCTGCTGGCATTATGGGGCAAAGCTGTCATCGGAATCCATTAACCATCACTTATTTCTAAACAGTATCTTCTTAATACATCACCTGAAAGGAGGTGTCTTTGTTGGGATTCTGTCAAGTCAGGGATGAGTTGAGCAGCTCAGTTAGCTACAGGCTCTGTAAAGCTCTTCTTGGCCGTCATTAGAAAGAACTGTTACAGTAGCCACTTGCAAAGCACTGTAACTCACTGTCCCTGCCACCCAGTCCACCGAATTTCACTGTCACCCATTACAATTCCCAGATGTACTACCCCTTCGAATCCCTGGGAGAGACAGGCACATGATGTTCTCAGAGTAGTGCCAAGAGTAGCTTTGCAGGAAAGGCTGGATTTCCAAGACAGGACAGCATTGGTGTTGGGACCATTCTCCTGTGAAGCAGACTTGGAGCTCAATTAGTACCAGTGCTGGCTGCCCAAACGTTTCAGCGCTGACTGCTCTAGGAGTCCTAGAACTGAGCCTACCCCACCTTTTCATCCTTCTCCACTTGGAGTTGCATTGCTTTCTGAGATCTACCACTGAACACGATGCAGAGGGTGTAGGAGTTTAACTAGAAGCTCAGGATAGCTAGAAACACCATGTCAGAGAAATGAGCAGCTGACAAATAAGACAGTCACCTTATGTCATTTTCCTCCTGGTACGTCTGAAAGCTGCTATAGTGGCAACTCTGTATCTTAAAGATATTGCATTGGGTTTCTTGATCTCTGGGATCTGGAGAAGGGTTGCTTGGTTCCTGAGTCAGGTCATCAGAGTACTTCATGGATATTGGGGAGAGAGGCATGGATGAAAAAGTAGTTACGCATTGTCAAACAGAACGGGTTTTTCATATCCTTTTTGCTCTCTGGTTATTTTATTCTATTATCTGGAGACATTGACAGCCTTTGAGAAGGACATCATCTGATTTGCAGCTGCCAAAGCGCTGGCACCACAGGCACCCTTGTTCTGGAGCTGACCCTACACCATTAAATTCTGTGAGATAGCAGCCTCTCCTCAGGTAACCTTTGGTGGGTTGTTCCCACAACCTGCACCTTAAGAAGCCATCTAAGCCTTCCTTTACATCTCTGCAACTGATGGTAAATGTGCCTGTTGTGCTGGGTAGTGCAGATTTTTCGAAAGGCTGTGTTTATCCTTCAAAGCTCCCAGACTTGTTCAGGAGACCATTGCAATGGGCCTGAGCTTGTGCAGCAGCTTCTGCCGTTTTCACCATACTTGTACCTGGAGGAACTGGGGGGTGAAGCTGTGCGGGGGGGGCGTTCAGCTCTCTCGGCCCAAGTGTCTGTTTGGATGTTCGTGTGCGACAGTAGCTGAGGGACGGGGTGGAGGGGGGGGGAGTTTGCCTGTCACCTATGAAATACAGGCGTACAGAAACCTGTGCCGTTGAGGAGGCAGCAGATGGTTCCCTGCACAGCCTCAGTTTATTGCTCATCTGGGATGTCTCTCTGGACAGCACCGTACGGGGCTCCCGCGGAGAGCAAAGAACGGCCCTCACGCTTCACCTTCACTCTTACACGCTGTGAATTCTGAAACAGTCAAGTTCCTGCCAGGTGCATTTGCATCCTATTACAGAACTCCAACGTTCAGTGTTAAAAGGGTTAATTAAACACTGAAAGTGTTTTCTATTTCCTTTTTTGCTTTAGGTCAAAATGAGTCTGGAGTTGCCGTCCACAATGGTAGAATATATTTAGTTGGTGGCTATTCGATTTGGACAAATGAGCCTTTGGCGTGTATCCAGGTGAGTGATTTAGGTTTCCTTTAAAGTCTTTTCCAATAATTTTGCATGGATACGTTTTGCACAGAGGTTATTCAAAATGGAAAATGCATGCGAAGTGGAGAGATTAAGGGTATTTTTTATGCAGCCACTGAACCTGCATAAACAGAGAGGAAATACTGTGGATATTAAAAGTATTTCTCGATGAGCCAATAAATGCAATTCTTCTAAGATATTCTAGTAAAACAGGGTTGAAGAGCCTCTCCTTTGGCTAGGTTTTGGTAAAATAATGGGTATATATTCTCGGGTTACACAATCAAGTTCAAAAGTAAAAAGCCTTGCAGAAATGGATGATGGGGCACGGGCTAACAATTTTTCAGCCCGCCTTGTGTTTTTTTCTCTCAGAGTTGTCTTTCTGAAGAGCAGCCAGAGTTAACGAGTTATTCTTTGACAAAGTTCAGTCAGCCTGGAACCTGCCCTAGTGCTTGCTGCTTCAAAGCTTGAATGGAAGTTTTTTGATCCCTGCTGTAGGCAATAGGTTGTCCAACAAACTCTTCTGCTCTCTCATCTTGTATAAGAGCAGCTTGACTGCAGATCCATGGCTTTCAGGCATTCCTGTACAGAAATTAGGAATTCTTATCTTTCTGTAAGTTTCTAAGTGAAGCAAATCTGCATCACAGTCATCGCTCTGTGACCAGCTGGGCAGTTACAGAGGAAACTCTTATTTACATCTCAGTTTCTCTACTTTTGCTGATAAACAACATTTTAATTAGCTTCCAACTTTTTGGATTTTTAGGATTTTACCTCCAAACTGTTCCATAAAACTAGAAATTAGACGTAGCATAAGAAGGGAATGTATTGGATGTTGAGCTGCTGTCTTATAGTGAACACTTACTAGCATGAGTTCGTGAAGAACGGACCGTGCAAGAGAAGGAGTTAAAACCATGGTATAATTGTGTTTTAGTAAGCTGTCAGGTACCATAACGAACGATAGTTACTGGGAAAAATCATTGAGACTGGCTTGGATAACACCAGCTGACGTACAGTGCTTCAGATGGAGTAATAGCAGAGTGTCAAGGCAGTGGCTGCGCTCCACCAACGCGCTCGTTTATAATCAGCAGGTAGTTTGCAGTATTGCACCTGGGTTTTAATACTGCTTAGTGACAAGTGAAAATGATCCTGGGATCTTGCTTTTTTAAGTGGACATTTGTCCACATCCCCAAACTGGTGGTGGACTGGCAGCCTGCCTGAGACAGTCCCCGCATTGAGGAGAAAAGTGGTATGATGAGTGTTTTGGCAGAGCAGTGTGCGCTGCCCCTTCTCAGTTGTTGGCAGCGTGCCTGGCTTTAAGCAGCAAAACTAGCCCTTTTATCTTCAATTGCAGCAGATATGGGGTTGCGGCACTCCTTTGCAAGAAAAAAAAAAAAAAAAAAAAAAAATCCCCTTTTTCTATATATCTTCATTTTCTTTAAGTCATTCCTTTAGTTGGCCTTTCCAGCTACCGCAGAGCTCCCTACGCACCACCGCGCTGAGCAGCGATTCGTACTGTGTGGCACCAGCAGTGCTCCTGCACGGAGCACCCTGTGTGCATGGTTGGGCATTCTGCTGCCTGGAAGCAGGACCCAACGTCACTGCGTGCTGCTGAGTGCTTCAGCTGGCAAGAGACTTGGGCGATGAGGACACCAGTAGATCGCCAGCTCCATAAATACAATAAATGATCTGAAGCTACCTTTCTGTTGGGGCTGATAGGATGTGCGTGTGGTGTGTGCTGGCAAACGTGTTTGAGCTTTCTTCTTCTGAAATACTTCGTACGCTTTGGCCTGCAGGTGCTGGATGTTAGCAAGGAAGGGAAGGAAGAGGTATTCTACGGGCCTACGCTGCCCTTCGCTTCCAATGGAATAGCAGCATGCTTTCTTCCAGCTCCTTACTTCACGTGCCCCAACCTTCAGACTCTGCAAGTGCCTCACCACAGGATCGGCGCAATGTGAGACAAGGAATGCGCGCTTCATAAAATCAGAAGTGGAGGGGGGGGGGGGGTGGAAATCAAACCCTGCCTATAGAAGGGTTTCTCTGGATCAGCGAGAAGAATCAATCCCCACGGGCTGCTGCTTTACCTTCACACAGTTGTCTTAAAGTCAGATCACAGGAGGCAGGAAGGAAGCTACAAAAACTGGCTGCAGTTTCTCTCCTCTGCCTCAGGTGCAGAAGCATATACATGAGAGCATTTGGCATCTCTGCTGGTGACTACCTGCTACCTGTCTCTACTTCGTTTCCTTATGCAACTTCATAAGGCATCGTGAACGCTCTCAGCTCCTCCTGGGCTGCTCTTCTCTGGAGTCTGCACGTTCAGTTGTTCACCAATGGCACTTTCGAAGCTGATCGGAATCTCTGTTTATGTTGACAAAGATGATATAATACTGTGGTAATTATGCAACTTACTCAATACCTTTGGCAAAAAGAATAACAAATGTGTTGACTTCCAATTCCACACTCCATCGTTTACAGTTTCTCATTTAATAATACTTCATTTGAAATTTAAATACTGCAAAGCAGATTAAAACAAAAATAAAAAAACAAACAAGCCCTATAAGTATACGAGGAACAGATAAAAATTGTCTCAGCTGAAAGACAAAGACTGAAGCCTCATGGGTAAACCGACGTCTGAACGGAATGTGTTTGTCTGAGAATCTAAAGATCATTTGGGATGTCATTTACCAAGGTCTACTATCAAATAAATGTTACCTTCTGTCATATGATCAATTCCTCCTGACAGCTGCAGTCTTTTAATGGTGGAGAACAGCCTCTTTACTGTATAATTAAAATGTGCCATTTACTTAATATTTTTAATATCCAGTTTGCAAGGGGTCACCACATTTACAATTATCAATGAACAGTCTCATTTTGTCCAACATATGGTCCCACAAATCACCGGTCTCCAGAGGCTAAACAGGTGTAGAACAATGTCAATATTTATTTATTTATTCTTTCAGTTGATACAGCCTGTCTCCCTTCCATACTCCAGGCATATGCCAGTTCACAATAAATACTCTAACCTGTTCTGTTTGGCTTTGCTTGGCTACTGCAGACCCTGTCTCTTATTTCTGTGTTTTATTTACATATCTAACAACAACTTCAATGTTTGTAAATATTAACCAAGCATGTAATTAAATCTTTCTCTCTTTATGGTTTACGGGTACCATGCACTTCTCTGCTTTACCTGCTGATCTGTTCCCTGCCGCCGTGCTATCTGAGCAGACCTATGAAATTCCTGCTGCTGCTCATGCAAATGCCACCTGCAGAATATGCTGCAGCAATAGCCTGGCCTGCTGGACAGGAACGGGTTTGACTTTGTCCAGTGAGCAACGTTTCCAAATCAAATGCTGCTTTTAAGGGCCTGGTTAGTGATACAGGGAGGTGAATTTTATTACCCTTGCCGTTTCCAGCCGGGCCATCTACTCGCAGCACATCACCTTTCCTTTTCCAGTAATTCTCAGGTTAGAAAGTTTTGTGTTTTTTTTTGCTGAGTTCTCTCACTCCTGCTGCACAGAGCGGAGCTGCAGCTGCAGCGCCTTTGCCTGGCACACCAACCTGAGTGCCAACAGTGCTCCCCTCACACAAAGCAAGCCTACAGCCAGGCAGTGCTTTCCTCTAGATGCATGGGAGCTGTACAGGCTCTACATCAGGATTTTTTTTTTTTTTTTTTTTTTTTTTTTTTGCTTGTTTTAATTCCTTTGATCTCCTGGAACTCAGCATGCAAGGGCCAGCTCTCCTAGCAGGTCATTTACACTTTAAAAATCCAGTGCCCTGTGTGAGCTGCCGGGCCAAAGCTTGGCAGGTATTTGAAGTTCTATTTGTGTGTGATGTGCGGGGACACAAACACACATGTCCCATTTTCAAGAGGAGGGTAGTTATAATAATTAAAACATGTGCGTAGGGATCCCTGGGGCTTTGAGCCTCACCCTGGCGGCAGCAGACCAGGTGAAGGACCAGATTTTGTTTCGGTGACATCTACTTCCTAGTTTGCAGGTGGTGGATCAATTAATTTCTCAGCCTCTGTAAAGCCCAGTGTGCTCCCAGACACTAATGCAAAGTGTATTTTGAACGCCTCCAGTTTGGAGGCTTTTATTCCTGGGCCTCATAGCTTACCACAGCCGTAGCTTTGAAATAATTTCGGAACTTCTGGAGAGCAAGGGGAGGGATTGCAATGGGTGGGGCAGGCTGCTGAGCGGCGCCGGGGGCCTGGGTTTAGGATGTGGACGGGGCAGCTTCCTCATGCAAAGCAGCCCGTGCCTCTTGGGGCAAGGGCTGAAAGGCGGGAGGGTAAGGCAAGAAAGTTATTTATCATGTTTGTTCTGCCCTTTAGACGCTTTTACCGCTCCGGTTGTTATCACCAATTGTCTGTGCTGGTGAATAGCAGTTTTAAACAGCTGTGCAATTGCATTAAATTAGTTAAGGGTACCACAGCCACGGAGCCTCAGGACAACACATATGCTCCTGTTAGTGTCAGGATTCTGCTCTGGCTCTTAATCATCGGGTTCCACTGATTACACAGATGTCTTTCAGGCCAAGCTCTTATCTCCTCTGAGTTTTTGTGCCACACGTTCCTATCTGGGTCTTTTTGCTTTTGTTGCAGGACCTACAGGACAGAAGGGGGTGCTTTGCTGCACCTGAAGTCAGAAAATGCCACGTAGCCCTTGCCAGGTGAGCAAAAACTGGTTCTTTATTGCCAGGTAAGAAAAGAGAAGGGCGTGGATGCAAGAGCAGGCAGAGCACTCTGGTGCCAGCAGCGGCTCTGCGCTGGCCGAGGGGCGGTGGGAGAGCAAGGCTGGCTTCTGGGCCCAGCTGCGGCTCTGCAGGACCCCCGCCGGCAGAGGCTGCCCCGTGAGCTGGAGCTTCTCCATCGGCAGGTCCTCGCTCTGCCACTTTTTTTCCGCTCGGTGTCCCCGGCTGCTGAAGCTGCACCAGTTGGAGGCTCCTGCGTGCCGGCTCCAGGTTCGCCTCCGCTGTCGTAACCTTTGTGCCGTTTTTGGGAAACTCTGAGCCCGACCCCTGTCCCTTCTCAGCCTACCAGTTGCGGTACGTAGCTCTGAAATGCAGTTTAGCTCGGTTTCTCCAGAGAGCCTTTAAAGCTGCCCTTAATAAGAGTATAATTTCCAGGCCTGATGGCCCTGCCCGGTGAGCGCAGCGGGGGAGCGGTGCCGGGGCAGGTCGCTGGGGCTGGCGCAGGTTGCCGCTGGTGGGGACGCCGAGGAGCCGGGGTGTCCTTACGAGTGAATAACGCAGCAGCGGTTACCAACTCTCGAGTGTGAAAGCCTGTGCCCTGAATTCCTCAGATTTACACATCAAAGCTACTTCTATCTGCAGCTAGGCTTTTGGGCCACAAGGTCTGGGCAGCCTTTGCACTTTTATGCCTGTGCTGTGATCTCCTTTTTTGGGCCGTTCCCCTAAAGAGTGGGATCTCACCCTTTATATCGCATACTTCACCTTGGAGGCCCAAGATGTTTCATCAGCTCTTCTTAGCTATAAAATAACCACAACAGCAATCAGCTGCTTTGTGCTTTTTTTTTTATCCCAAAACCCCCCAGTCTCCAGAAGCAGCAGCACCAACAGGCTCTTTGGCCTCTCTTGAGCATTTCACACCCAAGTGCTGACCAAAGAAATGCTTATATGTTATGAGCCAGCGTGTAGCGATTCTGCTTCTGTGCACTAGTGTTTTTGTAATCCTTGCCTTTCTAATTGTGGCTTCTGATTTTCTTCTTAACTTGGCAGCTTTCAGGTTAAGTATCTGACTTGGAATAGGTCAAACTCCTGTAACTCTTTTTCCTCTTAAGTTTTGCCTTCCCCAGTTACCCTCCCCCAAACCTGTACAGACATTCAGTGCATCAGTTGCAGAATCAGGGAGAAATAGATAATTGAATATTCACACGTGCAGAAACAACACAGGCAGAATGTGGAACAATGTGGAAACAAGCACGAAAAGAGGCGGCATCTGCTTACTGAAAATTAGAATGTCGAATAAATTAAGAGGGCAAGGTTAAAACACTTCATCTGCAGGCAGAGTTTGTAGGGGAGGAAGACTTTGCAGGAAGTTTAGAACATAGACTATACAAAGGGTTTACACAGTTTTATTTTTGCAAAATGGACTTTTCCCCACCCCCTGCAAGGACTCATTTTAAAGGGATAAAAAGTGTCCACGTAAAGAATGATTTTCCAATAGATATGATTATATATGGCTGTTTCACAGGAATGCCAGAATGAAAGTGCTTAAAATGTTATCTCTTACTGGGGGTAGACTAGGCTGTGTTGCAGCGCTTCAAATACTGAAGAATAAAGTATTTTTAGCAATACTCTCAATTTATGTAACTGAATGCTGTGCTAATTTTTCCACCAGTGCCCATATAGGTCATGCTGGCTCTCTCTAAAGCAAATAATCAATTTAGCAAATTTGTGTTTTTTAATGCCTATTTGGGTGACATTCTACAGGGAGTAGATCCAAGATAGTGTTTGATGGACTGAAAAATGCAGTGAATTTGGGTTTGATGTGGAATTACTCTGCTGGCATTTCCCAAGGCCTGAAAAACACTACATCTATGAATACAAGATCTGAGTTTTTAATTTTTTTTTTTTTAATTTGCTCTATACATACCTTCACGTTTTGTACATGAAGTCTACAAAAGGTGTGCCATTTTAAAGCTGCTCAAGTAGACAAAAGCCACATCCTAGTCATTCATCATAAAACAAGCTTAATTATGCCAGGACATATTGACACTGCATCAGATTTTTAATCTTCAACATAATTTTATAACCATTGCTAACAGATGGGCTGATTACACTGAGTTTTAAGTAATAGTTAAAAATTATAAAATATGATTAAACTGAAAATAAACTGAAAATTGAATAATTTTCAAAAGCTACTGAAAGAGGGAAAACCAGAGTGCAATAAAACCTCTTTTCTGGTTCCTGAGGGAAATACATTGCATTTAGGTGGACAGTTATCAAAGTTCCTTAAATGACTCTGTAAGTAGTGTACGCTATTGGCAGCTCCTCTTCTGTGCAATTACAACAGCTGTGCAGAACCTTATTCTTTCCATAGGTCTGCTGCTCTATTCCAACATAAAAGGAGTAAATTTTTCTATTTCAGCTCTTTTATTGAAACAAGTGCCTTCCTCCTGCCTCTATTTTTTTTTTTTTTTTTTTTGTCATTGAAAATGAAAGCAAGGAGTAATTTAAATTACCATGTTCCTGCTCTTTAATAACAAATGGGAAATTCTTGTAAAATGGAGGGACAGCTTTGTGGGACTAATGGAAGTTGCATGTGAATTCTGAAGAGAAGGTGTCGTTTTGTTTTTTTTTTTCTAGTTATCATTTTAAGGTTACTAAAGGAAAGATAAGCCAGACTTCCCTCTCCCTGACATTGTTCATGATGTGCTGGACATCTGTTTCGTATCACAAGACTGATAATGGGTCAGAGGTGATCAGTATCCTGAATTCTGGAATAGGGAAAATATAAAAATGAAATACTTTCTGTTTGGTTCTCAATTCTATATATTGCAAAAAGAAAATAGCATAGTCGTCCCCTACCCCCTTATATCCTGGAACAGTCCTCTGGCCTACAAGATCAGCATAGAAAATGCTCACAAGGCTCATGCCTGCTGTACTTTGAACAGTTCTCCTGTCAACATTATTGACATTTCTAAACAAAAGGAGATATTTGCTATCGTAGAATCATAGAATGGTTTGGGCTAGAAGGGACCTTAAAAATCTAGTTCTAGGTAGAGACCCCTTCCCCCAGCCCAGGGTGCTCCCAGCCCCGTCCAGCCTGGCCTTGAACCCTGCCAGGGAGGGGGCAGCCACAGCTGCTCTGGGCACCCTGGGCCAGCGCCTCACCCCCCGCACAGGGAACAATTTCTGCCTTAGATCGCATCTAAATCTACCCTCTTTCTTTCAGTTTAAAACTGTTACCCCTGGACCATGTAAGAGGCTTGGGGGAAGAAAAAGCTTACGAAGATTTAATATTTTGTTATAACTCCATTGACATATGATGATCCTGTCGTGTGAGTAATTAATGTTCAGAATGGCTTAATACCAACAACTTTTCATATATAGAGGGGGAGGACTAAGCACGGGTGTAGGCCTTTTAGTTTCTCTGATTTTCATGAGGAACTTTTAGCTACAACCTTTTTTCAGGACCTTTTGACCCTCAATTATGGAAGTTAGTTACAAGCACCATAAACGTCCATCTTTGCAAGCAGTGTTATTTTCAAAAGTACTGTGAGAGACCCTTCCCTTCTGTACAGTGCTGTCCTACGGCTACAAAAATGCAGGCCAACGGGGGATCCTATCAGCAAGGGCGAAATCAGGCTTTGTGGTGACGTTCAGCCCCAAGCTGGAGCAGGGCCACCTCAGTGCCATCAACACAGTCGCCCGCAGTGTGGCTTTGGCACGTCAGATCTGACCTGACTTTTACCTCAGGCCACTGCTGTGTCTCTCTCTGCAGCAGACTGTCACGCAGCCAGCAGTGGTTGGCCTCTCCGTCCTCTGTTAACGCCGGCAGGCTGACGGTCAGCATCGCCTTCTGCAGCAGCACGGGTGGGCCGGTGCTGGCTGAAGAGAAGCAAAGGAAGGGCCTGCCCAGGAAGGCTCTCAGCAAGGCTGATGCTCCAGGCCTGCGAGAGGACATAAAAGCCTGAACTAGCTGGGTAAAAGAAGCAGAACTGCCCTGGTGTCTGTCTGTCCAAATACCGGTGCTGTTGGTACCGGTGAGTTGCCTGCAAGAATCACCGACCCCTGGCACATCCACACTCCTCGGCTCATTCGTGGCAAGCACCTGCTTTAGCAAACTGATTCACACAGCTGCTGCTGGTGCCACACACGTGGCAGTTCCTGTCGTCTTCTCCACAGTCACTAACAGAGGTTGTATTACCAGTCTTTAGTAGATACGGAGTTGGGCTTGGCACATAGCTTCAGGAAAGGGATCTTGGAACATGCTTTTCTTCATCTGCTGGAAATCACCTCAGATCCAAGGCATGACCCTCTTCCTGTAATCAACACTCTACCCCTGTGATACTCACTTGGGACACAGTGGAAAAGGGGCATCTGATCTATATTCCTTAGTGAAAAGCAGATCATCCTGCAAATGGATCAGCAGAGACGGGCATCTGCCCAGCGCTGGTGGAAGCTGCTGGTAACTCATTGCCCTTTCCTCTGGAGAAACAAAGCCTCCAAAACTGTGAGGCAGAGCAAGGCAGTGACACACCTTCACCCTGTGGGCTGGAGAGGATTTCTGTCGTGATGCTTCCCCTACACAGTCTTGACAAGTGATGTCTGAAATGTCCCATCCCAACACCCACAACACAGAGATCCCTCATTGAGCCTCTGCGGTTGGTATATGACTGAGTAGTAATACCAGAAGTGTCTACTGGTTCCAGTTCAGATTTAAAATGCGTACAAAGCACCTATACACACTGGCAGGAAAACTGCTCGGAAGCAAGATCTAGATATGAGTTTAACATTAGGGAGTTGCTGAGGTGCTTAAAATTATTCTTCGCCGCTGTCCAAAGTCACTGCACACAAGTATCTGCTGGCTACACCCTACAGCGATGTTTTCAGCTGCCAGAGCCAAGCTCCATGCTACCAGGCTACTGCTCCCTGGCTGAACTCACTGCTTCTGCCTTTGCACCTTTCCTACTTTGCATACAGGGTCCTCAGCACACCGCCACCCACGTCAGCCTTGCTCAAATGACCGTGGGGCTGAGTCTCTGGTGGAGGGAGAAGAGGAAAGCAAGTCTGGCAGGGGATAGCAGAACTCAAGAACACCACTCACCAGTAGGTGCAAGTCTTATTTTCAGATCCCCCCTTTACCTGGTTTACAGCAAGGCTCCCTCCTGTTGTTTACTGCACACAGTGAAGGGGCAGGCTTTGCATCTATATGCAGATGAACGGCTCCTGCCACTGGTAGCAACCAGTGTAGAAGTTTTCCTGCTCTTTAGTTTAAGCAGTTCATCATGTATTGCATAAGGGAGCTAGAATTTGTACTGGTTTTAAACCAGCACAAAAGGATGTTCAGTGTCCTAAGTAGCTTTTATACAGACAGCATCTAATAAAACATAAGACATAATTTCTTTCAGTTCATGGTGGTTTTCAGTCTTTACTTTTTCTATATTGTACTTAAATTCAGCACTTCTAACTGATTTTGGACTCTTGTTTTGGTGTATTCTTGGTAAGTCAGTCTAGACTAACACTCTGCAAGCCTTCATCCCGTTAATATTATCAGAGCTGTCAGTCACATCTGCAACTGTCCATACCAAATAATTAGACCAAACCAGACTGCCCATTTGGCAGTGGTTGGTGAATACGATGCAAAATGCTTTATTTCTGGTCACATTAACTTTTAGACAGAGAATAATGATAATTTACAAACTGTTTACATTAGTTTCTCATGCACCAGGAGCTGTTACAGATTTACATAAAGCTCCGTGGCTTTTTCAAAAACGTCCAACCACTACAGGTAGTATTAAATATGTCTTTAATAATCTACTAAACACATCATTACATGTTTTGTTCTAATATCTATCCGCTCTATCCTTTAAAAGTCAAAGGTTTTACTTTCAGTAAGTAATACTAGAGTCAGACATCTGTTCTGTAATCTACTGTGTGGTAGGACTCAAATTTCGAAGGCATCTCTATTAATCTCTCTCAGAGAGGTTTTTATTTATTTATTTTAAAAGCTTTTTAGAACCACAATCCTCTTGAGATGAATAAAACTCCTCCCAGGTACAGAAGCTTACAAGAAACTACAATGCAAGTTCAATAAGTCACTTTCATAATGAAAAGAACCTCCATGTTCTGCACTATTAAGTAGCCTAAAGAGGCTTTTAGTTACTGCATTATCTGAAGTGACGATAGCTGATTTAGGCAAAAAGATTATCTAGTTCGACTTGATAAGATTACTGTAAGGAAAGAAAAGCTGCTCTGAGCAAGATTTTAGGGATTTTTGTGGAGCTGTTTGACAGCTCCCCATTAATATCATGAAGGTAAAATTTGAGTAACTTTAAAAGTAAGCAGCCTGTTCACCAGTGTTGCCATTAGGGGCAATCTTATTGCTCCCAAAGTCCAATAAGTAGTTGCAGAAATACAGGTTTTTGAGGGAAGTCAAAAGAGTGAACACCACAGGCATTAACGGAAGTTTCCTGGGAACTTTAGAAGTAGAAAAAGTTACAGAGCTAGGCCTGTCCTGGAAAGACCTAAAAAGATAATCCATAACACAGCAAAATATCTGAAAGCTCCACCTTTCCAGGTGAACAGAAATAATTACTAGCCTATGCTCAAATGGGATAAGTTCCCTAAATTAATATTTTCTTTAGAGGTCTGTCCTCTCTTCTTTTTTTCTCACACCATTTACATCTAGTCTAAGTTAAATGGATAATTAACAGTGTCACAACTAATGAAAAGACTGTGGGATCACGGTAAATTACAGGTTAATTTTAAGAAAATAGTATTGAAAAGGAAGAGGACAGGAAATCTGAACCTACTTTTTCTTACATTACCCACAATGACAACAGAAGAGCTTTTACCCTGGGATTGAAAGACTGTAATATTTTATTAGAGGTGGAAAGTTAAGACAGCTATATACATTTTGTGCAACATAGATACATGAGCTTTCTCGTAACACACAATAGCTCTGTCATACTGGTGCAACTCCTAGTGAATGCATTGCATTCGACACGTTCGGTACTAGAGATCACCGTTATTTCTCATTCTACTAAAATAATAAATTAGAAATTACAAAGTTATTATTTTCTTAAGAACATACTGAATAAGATTTTCAGGAGTACAGTGTTAAGAAGGTCAGGTCTCACTCAGTGTGAATTGAGTTGTGAAATTACTTTGATTATTTGAAATCCTACCTCCTCTGTTGCAATACAGGCTCTGCTCATACAGACATTTTAACATGTAATAAATTCGCTGTATCTTTCAATTGCCATTCAACAGTATGTCGAGAGTTACTCTTCACATGCATGACAATATTCAAATACCACAGAAATTATTCAAATTAATACATAACTTGGGACACACACACACACACATAAAATTGATAAATGTGTTGCCATTGTAAAGAAAAAGAACTTGGCTAGTGTGTTGTAGAGTGCAGTTTTAGGTATCGACAGTGTCGGAACGTTCAAGAGGAAACAATTAAACACCAGCACACTGCTAACCTGTCTCATTTTCCAGTTTTTGTATCTCATTTTGTCCAGCCTCCGTGAGGTAAGATAAGAGTCTTTTATAGGCGTCTCTGTTGAAAAAACAAAAGAATGTAACATGTTACTTAATCTCAAACATCCTAGGAGTAAAAGCACATAATTCCCAAACACACTGTTTATCTATTAGGGTATTAAAACACAGTCACTTTTTTTCCTTCTCCCCCTGTCTCCCATCTATCCAACTGCTTTGCTGTGAATTTTTAGCATGGTGAGGTTGGAAGAAGAATAAGGGTTGCATTGTTTATGGCTACAAGTGTAGTGAAGAAGCTTAGAAGGCTAATTCTTCAGCAAAATGCTGTGAAATAGATTTTTTTTTTTTTTTTAATTTTAAAACACGGAGTTTTCAAGGCTTAGATGTGATTGGCATTCAAACTTCATCATGTTTGCTATCTGATTTCTGCATAAGAAATCTCTCTGTGCCTCATGCCACAGCACGGTGACGCAAGCCACCGGCACTGGGGTGCAGACTGGCGCTGACACAGATTTAGACCCTCATCTCACAAGCGGCAATGACTGTTCTAAAACAAACCCAGAATTCAGAAAGGGACTGTCACTCAAGTGGATTTTCCAGAAGAGTGTGTATGTACTGGCAGGAATTTTCACCTGAAGTTCATTCTAATACTCTCCATCCTAGGCAATACAATTATACTGCCTCTGATGTTTAGGGTCTATTCTAATAATACATATTTTTCATGAAATATTAACTTGAGCAAACAAGACTGCAGTTTTCATACTAGTTTCTTGCAATAATAGTACTGGACATCACCACTATTGGCACCTAATGCCACTTCTGAATTTTGTTTCTTTTATATACATATATGGGTTTGCAGTTTAATGTCTACAGTAATTGTACAGAATATGTTAATATAATGTTGTTTAGTGGACTGAAGAGAGAAAATCAGTTATTAGTGCTCTTACGATAAAATGTTCATGGTTCACCTTAGACTGCTGGGTAATGTCACAAATTCTAAATACAAATTATTAATATAAAACACCAACAACGGATTAGCTAATGCATACGTTAAGTGATGAGGCTAAAAGAAACTTAGCTCTCCAGAAATCTCCAAGCATGTATTTCAGGAAGCTCAAACAACCTGGGTTTGTTTTTTTTTTTTTTAATATTTTGTAGGTAAAGGGATGAATTTTAGCTTATTAACAGTATTACAAAAAAAAAAGAAAATTGGACATGAAATACATTATCAAAAGATCAAAAGCAAATAGTATGAAAATCCTGCATATAATGGTACTTCCATCTGACCTTGGGTGAATTCCCTTAAATAAAAGCAAATGTATTTGTTGGTAGAGGATAATAAAAAGTGTATAATTACAAATTATTTAAATATATTGTTCATTAAATGGAGAATTAACACCCGTTGACCACCCTTTCCTGTCTCCCGAGTTACACTCCCCCACAACTCTTGTCTTTCGGGTTTCCGATGGCCCAGGCCCTGCTGATGTGCACCTCCACACCTCTCCGGCCCGGGCCTGGGGAGGGTCCCACCCTCCGAGCAGCCCCAGCAGGCCCGCTCCGGGCCTGGGCCTCGGGCGGGGCAGGGCCCAGCCTCGGCCTCCTCCCAGTGAGCAGAGCTAACGGGGGGGGGGGAGCCCTTTCGGGTGGGGTGCCACCCTGGGCAGAGCTTCCTGGAGTTCTGTGACAGCGTTTTCGAGAGGTGCTGGATGCTCACCGCCGCCTCGGCACCCAGAGGGGCCCCCGCCTGCGCGGAGCCGCTCACCTCAGGCGCCATCTCCTCCTGAGGCCTGGTGGATTCACAAGTCAGATTCTGCTGCCCTAAGTCCTTGGGGGCAAAGGGAGCACGTGTGAGTCCGCTGTGCTCATCGGAGAGAGGAGGACAGCCTTTTCTGGACACCCACATGGTTCGCTTATATTCAAAGTTACGAGACAACTCTTGAAATTAAGCCACAGGTACTTCTTTTCCAGGCATCTTGGATCATACCTGATTCTATCGTAATTTTAGATACGACCCGTAAAGTCCTCTCAAACTGGGACTGACAGGAAAATTCTTCGGGGCAGGAATTCGTTATTCTGTTTTGCAATGTAGAGTGTAGCGAGCAGAGGCATCCTGGCTTCGCACAAAATCTGCTGGGGTCTGTAGCCCTAGTGTCAAAACATCTCTGAAAATATTTAGCATATATACATGGCTTAAAACCATGAAAGGCCTGAGCTAGGGGAGATTTCTGGCTGAACTCACTTAAAAAGTCAGTCATTTTTGAGTATCTGTGCTGCTGTCTAACATTGCTTTCTTTCCAGAGAATAAACCTCCACAGCTCATTGTCAAAAAACAGTATTAAATAAAAATCAAACCTCTGTGCAGCATTTCTTCCAAGACCTTGTTTGTGCTCCAAATCCTTCAGAGACTGCGTGATTGTGGGAATCAGGCTGCTAACTAACGTCTGATCCAAGACCGCCACTGTTTCTAGTATGCTGAAAACCCGGTGATCATACACGGCAGTATAGTCCTGGATAAACTGCCTGAGGGGGACACAGAGGCATTTAACACAAGGTCAAAACTAGATGCAGAGAACATGCCAAGAACAACTGAAGAATCTAATCAGAACAAGCAATCTGGCTGCACGGCAATTTTCATATTGTTACGCTGAAATACTCTGCATGGAATACTTCCTCTAATCGAAGCCATGCTTTTGAAGGCTAATGCTAAAAATCCCACGTGTTTATTTTCGAGCAAATTGTCAGATTCTGCTTCTGTTTCACCAGGGCTGACTCGTTCCAGAGCACTGCACTTTGTAATGTGTCTGAATACAAAACTAAAATACGTATTTATTATTTAATAAAAAATAATAATAATAAATAAAAAAAAAAAAAGACAAGCAAAGCAAGAGATCTAGATCCAAGTCTGCAAAAATATTGTTGGCATTTCTTATAAAGCTCCACCAGACCTTAAGCAGGGCAGACCACTAGATGGAAGCGCACCCACCTGTCTTCCTGAGGGTTTGAGGCCTTTAAACATCCCAGGTTACATCTGAATCAGAAGTAACACCCTAGGGATGAAACTTCCCATGAAAGTGATATACCATGCACAGGGAGACTGGCATGCCCACAGACATGCATTCTTATTTCAGTGGAGCTTTCATCTAGACATGACCCAGTAGAGCACTGGTGCTTAGGTTCACAAAATGTCTCCAGCTCTCAGGTCATACAGCTCTTCCGCTGTATCCATGGGAAAAACAGGATTCTTTTTGCAGAGGTATGGAATAAGTATAATTTACATAATAATAATCTATTATTTATTTGTCACAAAACCAAATCAATCAATCAATCAAAAAAAAACCCCCTAAGCTTCTATGAGGATTTGATCTCCATTATACACACTTCAAATTAGGCACGCACATCTTTCACAGCACCGAGCAGTGACCATCCCCATTCACGAAGAGCTTCCCATTGCAGCAGCAACATACCTCTCTATTATATACCTTTCAAAACAGTATCTAATCCATCAGAAAGCAGGTATGTTTATGTCCTCTGCTTTTTTTCTCTGGCTTTTTGGCCAAGCCATGTTTAAAACCAGTGCCAAAAGCACTATTATTCAAATGCCATAAACAAGTGACAATGCAGTATGTTAAGGATAATTAGTTATTTTAAAAAAACATGTTTGCTGTCAATTGGCTTGCAGTAGCTTCCCTGCCAACTGGCATATTTTCTGGTTACCTAAATACAGAAGTCAGCTGGGTGGCACGTTCTCCTCCTGACCCTGCTTGGCAGCCTTCTACCATGTAGTGTACAAGGTCTGTAGATATTTTTTTAACTGTAAAAGAAAAATCACAAGGTTCACACAGAGCTCTTGAACTGACCATCTGGAGAATGTCTTTCATGAAGACTACAATTTTTAAATGAGAAGAAAATGCTTTTATCTATCTTTGATGCAAGGGAAATGACTGTGAGAACAGTTAAGTTAGATTGGCTATAAAGAACAGAATGAATCACAGATTTATGCAAAAGTCTTATTTTCACCACCATTATCCTTTAAACATACAGATTTTTAAGTACACTATGGTCTCTTTAAGACAAAGCAAAGAGACACACACTTAGTGGAAATAGAGATTTTATTTAAATTTAAGTTCTGTCTGTATTCTTTAATCATTCCTAGTTGAATTAAAGAAAAGCAGTCGTGGCATTACTTCCTACCCAAAGCTATACAGACCTACTCCTTACTTTCAATGGTGGGTATTGTTCTGAATACCATGCTACTGTTTTTTTTCTTAAGGGGGAAAAAAACCTCCAGAAAGCCCCACTGTTTTGTTGCCCTTAATTGTTTCCAAATGAATATTCAAGCTGCAAGATACAGCTCTTCCTTTATCCAGGTGGAACCGGGCTGGAAGGAATTTTCTACACAGGGTTTGTGGAGCCCTGTCCAGGCAGGCAGCGAGCTGGTGGCTACGGCAGCACAAGACATCCAGCTCATTCCACTCCACAGCACATTGCAATGCAGGTATGCTTGCCTATCTTGTCCTCAAAACTTTTATAGACAAGCATCAAAAAGTGTTTTATTAAACAAAATTCCCAGAAGTCAGAGGTGAATCCCCATTTTGCTTAACACCTCTACTGGCAGCAAGAAGTGGAAATTTTGAGCTTATGCACACATGCACATTCATTATACAACTGTGGGGTGAAAAGACTGCTTCATTTTTTAAGTTAAAAATAAAGAAGTTCTCACTACCAAACAAAGCATGCTAAAAGAAGAAAGAAGTCTCAAAAATGCCTTCAGAGAGCAACATGCTACATTTAATCCATTTATTATGCCTCTATAGGGAGAGCATACGCTAGTCTTATTTGGTCTCAAACCTTTTGGTGCAAGAAAACCTTCACAGTTACCAAGTTTGGGAAAAATGAGAGGGGAAGTATAGGGAGAAAGAAAATGCTCTTCAGATTCCTGAGAATTTGATCATTATTTCATCAGAGAGCAAAACAAGGCAGGGCTTCTTTGCCTCTTGGAGACAGAAGTCCCAGACCAGTTAATGAAAAAAGAAAGCTTCTCCAGTTTATCTGGTCAAAGTATCTCATTCACCTCATCTAAGAGTCTTAAATATCGGGATGAAAGATGCTCAGCAGTACAGAAAACCTTACAGACGTGCAGAGATGCATTTAAAGCGAAGAAACAGCTTACCTTGTAGCTCATTAACCAACACCATGCATTTCAACACAGCCGGGAGAACCAAGTCAATGTCACATAGTTCAGTGCTCTGGGTTTTCTGAAGTACTTCAAGAACGAAAGCGAGAACAGAGGCCAAGCGAGGAGGTGGAGCGTTACCTTTGAACTGCAAGTAGTTTTCACTGGGAAGACAAAGCAAACCAAAACAGAGTCTATAATTTTGCTTTTTCCATTCAACGCAAGCACCCTACACCTTAAAACAACTTTGTGGTATTTCAGCAGGAGGCTTATTACATAGATTTCTATCTTTATCTAGGCTCAGCTAATGGCTTCGATTTGTCTTAGCCTTGGAAAAGGCTCCCAATTTATCAGCGGACAGTGATGCTGTCTGACTCTTCTGTTGAGGGAAGTGAGAAATAGCAGCTATCATAGTCATAGTTGAAAAGCCAAAAGTGGCTACAAAAGTTAAAATATAAAGGCAGCTTCATAAAATAACTGGAAGGAAAAAAAGAAAAAAAAAAAGAATCAAGATTTTAAGACCCTCAACCAACAGCCAAAATATAACTGTTGTTCAATTACTTTATTTAGCTTTATGTGCTTTTGTCAACTCACAATCCAACTTGTTATAACAGCTCTGCTGTTATACTAGTACTGTTACTTTATTTTTGTCAGCAGTATGTTGTAACGGGACAGCCAAAGTCTGCTTTTGCTCTGTCACAATTAACACAATCATGTCCAGTATAAAACTTGTCACAAAGATAAAAGGTGACCTGTCAATCTGCAAGAAGAGCAAATTTTGACATCATGCACACCAAATGTTCCAATTTGAACAGCTGGATTTGTTATTTTTCTGCAAAATGATACAAAAATCTGAACTACCGTTAATTTGACATTACAAATTACTGAAACCTGAAAACAGTTTAAATTGAAGCATTCAGGACAGAAAAGTGCAGGTAAAAAGAACGCAGCATTTATTCATCAGTTAGCAAGAACACTCTCAGAGGCTGCAAAATAACTTTTTAGGTATTTAATGTTAGGTATGATTAGCTACCCCAAAAATGCATGCATGTTTTTCTGAGCAATGCATCAATTAAAAGCCACCATCCTTGTTAAAAACTTACTAAGGCATGCTTCTACAATTTCCAAATGAAACCTGACTTTGAGACCTGAGTATTTCACTGCACAGCTTCAGAGCAGGGCACTGGTGTAACTTGGCAAATGAAAGTTGTAACACTTCCATATTCCTTGTATCGTGTGGTCTTACTCACTTTAATATTAGCAACTGTGAATTCCATTAATTTAAAAAGAAAATTTCACACTAATTTTTTTTTTATTAAAGTGGTTCTCTGACCTGGGTAATACACCCCTGATCATGTGGTTCAATTTCCTCTTTGTAGTAGCAAGACATTCCCTAGTTTTCATATGTCAGAACAGCCAGTGAACCCTGTACATATTTATGTATAGAGCTACAGACTGCCTCCTGACCACCCAACAGTTTGTAAATCAGACCGGTGCTCAGCTCTAAGATATTCTTCCCAGATCGCTAAGGAACATTTCATGTCTTACAAGTCACTAACTGCCACTACACTTTCAGAACTTACTTTCCACTATCAATCTTAAAATTCATACATGCGTGCACACATTCACAGAGAACTTAAGATGATAAAGTCTGAGTATTCAGAAGTTAAAAACATGTCAGAAATAAGACTATGAAATCTTAATTCACTCCTTCAATATGCAATAATACAGGCTTTACTTATAGGACTGCCTATAATATTTACCGAAGATCAACACTAAAATCCTCTTAATTGACATGTATAAGCACCCTAATGCAGAAAAATACAATTACCTTGAGAATAAGCAATCACCTCATATTTGAGGGTGTTTTAATTCCTCTCCCAACATAAAAGTACAGATTGTTCCCTATTCTGAAGTACATAAAAACAAGGCTTCGGCTTTTCAGCAGGTCTACAGCTGCTGTTGACATCGTGAGAGTAGTGTCAGCACAGTGAACAAGGACTCTCTCCTTGCCTCTACATCTCCCTCTTCCCACGCTCCAAATGGTCCCTTTCCCTGGGCAGCTGGCACACCTGTGTCCACCCTGACACGTACAGAGCAACGAGGCCTCCCGTGCACAGGTAACTGTGGCAACTTACACACACTATGACTCTGTGTCCCTAAATACAGCCTGAGAGACAAACATGAT